TACAATTTCTTTTTATTCTAGTGTAAGCATGTGGTAATAAGGAGCACTTAGCTAACCTTGGCTAATCTAAAAAGCTAATCAGGATTAGTACTTGGATTTTCATCTTCTTTACTTTGAAATCCCAGAGTTGTAGGCTTAGACAGGGAAATGGAGAAAACATTTTTGAAGAAGACAGTGCTAAATCATTTCCATACAAGTACTCTTCATTTAGTGACCATAATGGAGACCAGTAACTCCATTACTAAGTGCTGTAGTTGCTAAGCAGAAAATCACATGATCACAATGGGCTTACATCATCATTTCTCAATCGGTCATAAAGCAAGACATCCCATGACCACAACGTCTATGTTCTGTATTAACTCTGGTTGTTGGAAGTCAATTACCAGAAACACAAAAATGACAATCACATGACCATGGGATGCTGCAATGGCCATAAATACATATCCGTTGCAAAGTGCCCAAATAGTGATCATGTGACTGTAAGACACACAACAATGGTTGCAAATGCAAACTTGGTTGAAAAGTTTTTTTTAATACACTATCATAACTTCAAACAGCTGTTAAATGAGGCAGGAAGTACACAGTGGCCTGATCTACATAGATAACACACCATGTGAAGAAGGAAAACCTGATTCCTCCTGCACTCTGCCTATTCTACATAATAATGGATCTCTTGCAAACCAAAAACTACTCACAGGAGCTTTCTATCTCTTCACAATTTAAGAAGGCTTCCCCCCCCCATTCTTGTGCCATCATCAGGCCAATCACATTATATATATATATATGATGCAGATCCCAAAAGGGGTAGCTTTTAAAAGCAGTAACCAAAATTTAAAAGAGTCAAGGAATGGGAGAGGAAACATGGTATCTACAGGATATGGTTGAAAAAATAAAGATAGGGGCCATGATGACACAGTCAAAGCTGTGCCTGTTTTTTGTATGTGTGTTGCATAAAAATCAAAGGAAGGAAAGACAATAGAGAATACAGGATAATTGATAGAAGTACTGTATGAATCGATCCATATGGTTCTTTTTACAACTAAAGACTAAACTAAAGTTCAGAGCTTGTCTTTTTTTAAAATATAGTTTATTGATTTTTTTACAATAACAATCTTTAGTGCTTAGTAAACAGTGTATTGTCTGGGTTCATATATTTAAAAAACAATAAATAATAATTAATTTCTATAATTCCATAATCAATCTATTAATTAATGATATATTTCCTTGATCTTCTCTTCTTCCAATAGTACTCTCCTTTTATCAACATTAAGCAAATATAATAATACTTTCAATACATACAAGGTTGGATATAAACACTTTTCTTCTGTTTGTACAAATAACAGTAACATCAGCATATAACATCTTTTCTGGTCCGCTTATGTTTCAATTGTATTTATAAAAGTCATCTTATTAAGTCACTATATATCCTGTTTTCAAGATTCTTATTTAAGCTTAATTTCCTCTCTGTATTCAAACCATTCTTATCAGTCATAATTTTATCAATGTTAATTACCTTTAAATATCCAAACTTTTCATTTACCATCCCAATATTTTTATATTTCATATATTATAAAGAATACTATACTACATATATCGTATCCCTCTTACTGTAGGGTCCCTTTATATCCATAATTTATTCTTTTAACCATATTCAAACAAGTGTTTAATCATATAGTACTCCATCTGGTAAGTCGAATCAAATCTCTTGGATCTAACTCTAGCCTTCTTTTGCAAAGTAGCTTTATAAGTCAGTGTGTTCAGCTTGCCAGGGGATTCTTCCTGTATTTTTGTGAATGTTGTTAGGAATAGAAAAGACAAGTCAGGTAGGATGTGTGTTTTTTGTCTCCCAAACTCTAATAATTCTCCTGGCTGCTCTATAATTCATTTTTCCTATCTTCAGGTTTATTTTGAAGTCCTGAAAAACAAGATATCTTTTCCATTTCTGTTGTGGCAAAATCTTGCAAGTTTTCTTTTGTATGTATTAGACTGTGGTTCTCTTCATTTGTAGCTTCTCTTCTTGGGTCACTGTCCTCTGTTATCTGGTTTGTTTGTTCATTCTTTGTCATCATTTTCTGAGAGTTTTTAAATTGTAGGTTTAAGTTAAAGATGTGCTCATTTATGTTGTCAAAATTGTTTTTAATCTCATCATAATTTGAAACCATTGTCATTTGAATCTGTCACAGCATTGCATACATTTCCTTCTGGAAAATATTTGCCTTGTCTTGAAGTATGCTCCTGCAGATCTCTGATGTTCCAGGCTAGGGCCTTCAGAAGGAGATATTAGGTGTGTGGTTTCCTGCACTTTTAGATAGGTATGCAATATCCATTTTATCTCCCCCCTCCAGATAGTCTTTCACCAGTACCATAGTCTCTGTAATTAGCCTTGTCAAACCAGCCAATCTTAAAGTCCAAACAACCAAATCTTATATAGTTCTTATCTTTATATATGGTGTTTCCAATTATCAAAGCACTGCTAAAAGCAGTATTTTATACTAGTTCTTCTATTCAGGGGTCTTACAATTATCAGGCAGTCAGATTACAGTCCAGAATGTTTAACCACCTAGAAGATTAGCCAAAAGTCAAGATTTTTCCTTCTCTGTGAACAATTCTTGAGCTTAGAAATCACAGCTTAGTAAGTATTTATAATCCCAGAAGGTCAGCAATTTTTAAAACAAATATAGTTCTCACTCTGCAGTAGGTAGCCCGGTGTGTTTTCTTTCCTCTGTTCCCAGATGTTCTCTATTTGGCGAGAAGCCACTGAGGTTCAAAGGAACAAGTTGATCTTTTTCTGGGCATCTTGCCAATTTTTGAATCAATGCAACTGTTGTTTTATGCCCTAATCTGCCACTAGATGTCAGTAGCTATTCATTTTCCAATTTTTAAAGCAAAGAGTTATTTTCTTGTAATTTCATCAATGCCCTTTCAGTTGTAATGTCTTAACAGTTTTCATAATTTTCAGATTTATCCAGATTGTAGTATTATTAAGTTCATTTCAATATATTTCTGTCCCCCATAAAAATTAAATTGCTGCTTCCATCTATGGAAGGATGGGGGTGTGAGCCCCTCCCTTCTCACTTTCGGTGGATTTTTTGCCTCTTGGGGATCTTTTCCAAGAAATCAGTTACAAAATAGAAGAGAGAAGATCAATATTCTCACCCAGTTCCAAGCACGCTGTTCATGGTTGTTTTGGTTAGTGTTTTTGGACTTCAGCTGCTGGTAGCTTGGGCTAGTCACTGGTGTACAGCTACCCTTTCTCCTGTCGGGTTGGAGGGCTTCCCCCGGATCAAACGGATAGACCACTGTCTTTCTGTGATCCACAGGGGGGTCTCCTTTGTTGACTCTCTAAGGTGACTTTAGACCCATTTAGGGTACCCTGGCAGGGCAAAATCATCGGCCATTTTGCAACAGCGCAAAACCAGAAGTCGGAGCCTGTCTTTTTTTGGGGGGGGGCTGTTGGAGTCAGGTTGAGTGCTTAAACTGAGCACTTAGCCAAGTGATAAGTTTGCTGCTTGGGTGGCAACTTGAGGGGGGAAAAGTTCCTTTTCCAAAGATTGGAACAAGCAGGGTGCAGAAAGCAAGACGAGTATAGCTGCTCAAAATTGTTCAGCATATCTATCCATATGAATGAAATATGGTTTGCAGAATGGACTGTATAATATTGTTTATTTAATGATTATAGCAGATGGTTAGTGTGGATTTTAATTGTTGGTGCTAGTTATTTTTAATGTGAGTTACTTAGTATGAATGTTTTATTTATACCTACCTTACTGCGGACATGTATTGTTTATATTTTAAATTACACCATAGATGTTTATGTTTTACACTATACTGTAGATGTTATTATGTATTACAATTGTATTTCTGTGCAGTCAAACAATTCTGAGTAGTTAATATAGAAACAACAGTTCTAGACAGTAAAGTAAGTCTTCTTTGATTTACTGTGGCATACAAATCTGATAGGCAGACAGATTCTATTATTACAGGTATTATTGATTTAAGCTCATACAAGCATTCTTCTTTCAGCTATGTAATTATCATTATGTTCCTATAATCATTCCTGCAGTAGTTTTCCCAACTTGATGTGCATCAGATGCATTTGATCAGGGAAATATGACTAGGTGAAAGCTGAGGATGATGGCGATTGCAATCCCACAAACATTTAGGACTTAGCTGAAGAAAGCTAATGGCCTATACCAGTGATGGCGAACCTTTTAGAAACCGAGTGCCCCAAAACCGCACCACCCCACCCGCCCCCACTTTACTCCATCCTCACCCTGCCCACCCTCAGGGCCATCCACGGCCCGCTGCAGATCACCCAGGCAGCCCTGCAGCACCATGGTGGCCATGCCCTCCGCCTGCGTCCCCCAGCATCATCTGCTGCCTAGCTGCCATGTGCTTGGCTGTGCTGCTCCACACAGGCCTCACCTGGGGGTGACTCCTCCAGGAGGGCTGCTGGTGAGGAGGGGGCTGTGGGGGAGGTGGGGCTGGGACAACAGCATGTGTGTGTGCCCACAGAGAGAGCTCCAAGTGCCACCTCTGGCACTCGTGCTATAGGTTCACCACCACTGGCCTATACTTTGTCTAATTCTGGAGCAAAGAATAAATAGAATAGCTCATCCAAAATTTCTTTACATTACTAACTGCACATTTTACCTCATTCCCATAAAAAGCAACAACAAAAGGGATTATGCCCATGATTTCCTACAACAGAGCAACAAAAAGAATACATAACCTTGATTATTGCTCCTTGCATGCTGACAAAACCATGCTCCAGAATGCTTCCCATTTATCATATGGGGATCCATGGTAAGACATGTGAGAAGCATTCCAAGAACACCATAAAACTACTTAATTGTAATTAGTAGATCCTTTTTACATGGGGAGAAAAGCCAAAGAAAAATAGAAGTGTGTGAAAGAGGAGGGGTCCCCAAGCCCCAGGTCGTGACCCACTACCAGGCCACAGCCTGTTCGAAACCAGCCCAGGAGAAATTGGCAAATGCATGCAAAGCTCCCCTTGTACAAATGGAGAGTGCTTGCGCTCATGTGCGAAGCACCATTTACATGAATGGACCTTCGCCTACGAGCGCAAGTGCCTGCCATTTGTGCTAGTGGAGTTTTGTGCTCGAATGCAAGTACTTTCTGCTTGCATGCAAAGCTCCATTCACGCAAGTGGAGGGTACGCACACGTGCTGCTCTCACAAATGGAGTTGTGCATGTGCATGCCTATCACTCACTCACCCCCTCCACCCCCATGCAGGGGCCAGGCCACCAAGCTGGAAAGGTTGGGGACCGCTGTGGTAGAATGTCCTGTTGCAGAAGTCAGGAGTAATACATACTGTTCATTTCATGTGAAACTCATCCTGGATAACAGGAGAATATTACTAGCAGAGTTCTGCAGCTATGCATCTCTGCAGGACAGCACCTTGTTTTTATTGATATTAGACCTATTCAATTGCTTCAAATTGTGATATGGTGCATCCTGAAACATGTCTCTCTTCTCTGACCTCTTTCTTTTAAAATTGATGTGGTAGCTGATTCAGCACATCCATGTGTTCATTTCTCACTGAGAGAATGGCTCTGAATATACTTATCTGCAGCCTTGACATTTCTGTACACCACATTGTGACAGGGAAGGAATGCCAGCCAGATAGCTTTGGACAACACCGAGCAATTCCAATAACCATTTTACTATTTTCCTTTCACACCGCACTGCCTTCTGAGAGTGGCATCCTTGGCAACAGTTGTATCAAGGCAGATAAAGATTAAAAATAAAAAATACAATTCCTCCTGATATAACTGCTATTAAAAATATTTGCAAACAAAGTATTTGAGATGGGAATAATTTCCATAGAATTAGACATGGTAGTCTTTTGCAGCAAAATCACCTTAAAGATAAACTGAGGTACTTTGGCAAATAGTTTTGGCAGCATATCATTCTTACACCATAATACATTTGCTTGCCACTAACATTATCCAAATATTCTTTTAACATGTGCAATTTAATGTGGCAGATTATTTCTGAATATAATTTCTAGCCTGGTGTAGATACAAAAATGTGTATCTACAAAATATTTAACCACTGGTGAGCTGAAAACAAACTAATTGTATGCTGGTGCTGATGAGAGATATGTCAGCATCAGTTCTTTTATAAGGAGTAGAGTTATTTGAATGGTCTTCTGGTAATAATGTTGGGGTCGTATCTATTGTACTGAATCCCATGTGAATTCACATTCCTACATGGACAAAATCTAAACCTTATGAATGCTACTGAGGAACTCTATATGTCTGAATTTATATTTCAGTTGGCTTAACATGTGTGAACCATTTTGATTTAGTTTTACAGGGTAAACAGAAAATATTACCCAAACCAATTATACCTTATGTAACAAGCACTCATAGTTTATTATAGTGTATGGCTTGATTAATGAAACTTAATGAGTTTGGCCAAAATGGTGGCCATGTTTGAATATGCTTGAACATATTATGGCAATGCAGACATTGTCTCATCTTGTTGTACTAATATAATCATCTAGCCATAAGACTGTCTACTGCAATACATTATGTTACGCCAGGGGTCCCCAATTCCCAGTCCTTGGACCAAAACCGAGCATGCCAGAAACCAGTCCATGCGGATAAGTGAAACACCATCCGTGGGATGCAGGCAGCATGCAAAACCATGCCCCCGCTGGTCCACGGAAAAACCTCCCTCCACAAAACCAGTCTCTGGTGCCTAAAAGGTTGGGGGCCACTATGTAACGCTGCTCCTCTAATCTCTGTTTTAAAATATACAGTCTCAATTATATTGCTATTCATAGTATTGAATATACTAAAATATGAGAGACAGGCAAGTATTCCCATGAGCCTGGAGACATTCTGTCTATTCAAAGCAGAGTCTTGTTCACATTTTTCTTTTTTGAAAACATGCCTGTTTCTCAACTTTCATAAGATAAAGAGGATTTGCATTTTAAAGAAGATCACAGAAAGTGGAAGAACAAAGTTAACAGAAACCACAACCAAATATCTCCTACTGTCTAGGTCTTGGGGTTATGCTTTCCTATTTGTTAATTCAGACTTGTTCTTGTGCAATTTCTGGATAATTATATTGCAGTTCATCCCTAACAAGGGCCAGAATGGAAAGTGTGGGGAAGAGGCAAATGGGAATAAAATTAAAACCCATGATTTTAAGGGGAAAAAATGTCAAATTGAGTTTTTAGTTTTTAAGTCCCTATTAGTCTTTTGCTAGTGAAAAGAAAACTTTATTTTTCTCAAATAAGATTTGCAGAAGAAACCAGCTTTGTAACTGCCATTTTTTTCTATCTGATGACAAGCGGGATCACTTGAAATTTGAGAGAACAGATGAGTTTGTATTTCTTATTCTTTAAAATCAATGAAACAACACATCTTTTTGCAAACATTAACATGATGTCATGAGAACATTTCTACTCTAGAAGGTCACCAAATGTTCAGTGTAAGGCTTAGACTTTTAAATCATCAAGTCAAACAATGAGTAATATCAACTGGACCTTTTTTTCCCATCGCAGATTTACGCCGAATGACAGCCGGTTTTATGGGCATGGCAGTGGCCATCATCCTATTTGGATGGATTATCGGGGTGCTGGGCTGCTGCTGGGATCGAGGCCTTATGCAGTATGTGGCAGGACTTCTCTTCCTCATGGGAGGTAAGGAGAAAACAAGTTGAAAATACATGCTCCCTTTAACTGCATCAAATGTAATTGCAAGGTCCTAGAAAATGATCCCCTATTCGGTTATTATAGAAATCAGCAGCAATGTGCTTAAAGTTTTCTATAACAACTGGTTCTTATAATTAAATATATGTAGTCCTTACTTAACACTGGCCTGTTTTAGCAACTGTTTGAAATCATGGTGATACTCAAAAACTAACTTTGCAATGAGTCCTTGCACTTATGACCACCACAGTGTTCCACAGTCACATATTCAAGGTTCAGGTGCTTCACAACAGCTGGTGTTGATGACCATCACACCATCCTGCAGTTATGTGATTGCTCTGTACGTGCTTCACAGCCAGCTTCTGACAAGTCAACCAAGAAGCCAGCAGTAAAATCACAAGGGATCATGGAATCTTTGGCTTAATGACTTTAGCTGACTTGCTTAACAATTGCAACAGCAATGAGGTTATACATTTGTTGTGGTCACATGATGTTCAGTTTAATTATCATGTCACTTAGTGACACAGTTTCTGGTCCCAAATTGGCCATTAAGTGAGTACCACTTGTATCAATTTTCTTGTATACTGCTTAATTTAACTTCCTTTTTTAAAGCTTATTTTATTTTCCCACTTTTTGAAATGCTGCCTACTGGTGCTTTTATATAGTTAGCTAGTTAGTTAGTTAGTTAGTTAGTTAGTTAGTTAGTTAGTTAGTTAGTTAGTTAGTTAGTTTATCCCTATAGAGCACTGAAATTGAGCTTGCAGCCTGAATCTGAGACCGGCTCTACCAATTCATAAAAAATGTATCTATTTTACAAACTTCTACCTTTGTCCTGATTATAGGTATCTCAGTTTGTTCCCCTATCTCTAGGCCTCACAGGGGCTAGGGGAATTTCCATGCTTTGGTTGTTATTCCATCCTACCCTACTATACCATAGCATGTAGATCAGCCTCAGTTTAGTTTGTTTTCTGGGTGGTGCACTGCTAAAGCAGCCATAAGCCTTCATTTATATCTTCTGATAATAATTGGCCTGTTTGGATAATCAAATCCCTAACTTCCTTTTTATACCAGATCTCTGAGTGGATGAGGAAAATCCCCAATGTCTTGCTATTGTTTTTGAAGTTCCACCTTTTCTTCAGACACTTTGGATATTCTTCTTCCTTCCATGGAAGTCAAGTTTGCCCAAATTGTAAAGATTCCCAGTTGATGGTTCTGGGTCTCTTAAAGTTCTTCTAGGGCTGATATGGTCAGTGACTTGACTTTCCATTGTCAAATGTTGCAACAAATCCATAGACAGACAATGACTATCATTAAGGACTAGTTTGTTCCTAGAGGATGCCCAGGAGTGATTTCTTATCATTGTGTTCCTTACTGATTTATCCTTGTCATGATGGCTTACTTATTTAGCTTCAGCTGTCAATTAAAACAAAACAACAACAAAAATTCTAGCTGGTCCAGAACCGACCCAGATTGGATCCTGCAACATTATCCTGGGACATGTATATTTGCCTTCATTCACATTATGTCTTCAACATAAATAACGTACTGTCATTCACTGTTTTGCCAGTATTAATCATGGACATACAATTAATCATGGACATACAATAAGCATTCTAATAATATCTTATTGTTAATAAGTCAAAAGCTGTATGCTCCAAAATATCTCTGTTTGACTTTATGAATCTGTGTGGACTCCAGTCCAAAACCAAACCATGAAATCCCTAATATTACTCCCACTAATGAGGAACTAGCACCAATGCTAGCATAGTCCTATCATTCTGATGTTAGAAAAGGTGTCTTATGCCATCGTATATAATTGCATGCTCTACATAAAGCATACCTTATGTTCAGGACAAAAACCAAGAATAACATCAATTTTTATGATACTTGTCCATCTTTAATCAGTGTAACCAGATAATTACATTTCTTTTTTCTATTGAAAATTTTTATTTTTTAAAACATACAAACATTTATAAAAATACAATAAAATTTTAAAATAGAGAACCCCCCCCCCTTACCCTCCCTCCCACCCCCACCCCCCCTCCCTTCACTTCCCAGAGCAGAATACAGGGTTAAGAAAAAAAAAGAAAAAGAAAATTATAATAATTAAAAAAAAGAAAAAAAAGAGAAAGAAAAAAAAATATCATAATTAACCTTTAACTCCATAACTTATAAAACAATTCTCTATAATATTTGATATTCATTCATAAAATAAATAAAACTTTTTAATTCCATATTTTTTCTGAATATAATCTATCCACCTTCCCCATACAGTAATATATCTTTCTTGTGTATGATCCTTTAAATAAGCAGAAATTTTTGCCATTTCTGCAAAACTAGATACTTTAAATATCCATTCTTCTAAAGTAGGCAAAGAATCTTTCTTCCAATATAGACCTACTAGTAACCTTGCTGCAGTTAATAAATTCAACATCAAAGTAGTTTCTTTTTCATTTAAGTCAACAAAAATACCAAGTAAAAATAGTTGAGGAGTAAACTTTATCTTCTTTCTAAAAATCTTTTGAATGTTCCACCAAATCATAATCCAAAAAGCCTTTACTTTTTTACAATTCCACCAAATATGAAAGTATGTCGCATCATTATTGCCACATCTCCAACATTTGGGCTGTATGTTGGAATACATACAAGATAATTTTTTAGGATCTAAATGCCATCTATAAAACATTTTATAAAAATTTTCTCTCAAATTTTGAGCTTGTGTAAATTTAACATTTCTTATCCAAATTATCTCCCATAAATCCAATGAGATCGGCTCCTGTATATTCTGAGCCCATTTAATCATACAATCTTTAACCAATTCTGTTTCCGAATCTAACTCTAATAAAACATTATATATTCTTTTTATATGAGCCGGACCTTGGTTTTTAATCTGAATAACCAATTGTCTATCTTCTAGTGTTATTCCCTCTTTCTTGTCTACAGTCCATCTATCCATTATTTGTAAATATTGAAACCATGACTGTAGAATATTTTGCTGCCTTAATACATCTAGGGATTTCAAATGCCAATTCGAACCAGAACAAATTAACAATTCTTTATATGAAATTTTATCAAAATTTGTCCCCTTAGAGGTTCCCTCAATTGCATGTCTGGGAATCCCCCAGATAGGTATTTTATAATTTAATCTATAATAATACTTCTTCCAAACACGAAGTAAGGCATTCCTCAAAATATGTGATTTAAAAGTCCGATCAACTTTCTTATTAAAAATTAAATATGCATGCCAACCATATATTAAATCCCAACCTTCCAAAAAAAGAATATCCATATTTGTTAAATTAAGCCAATCACTTAACCAAGTTAGGGCGGCTGCATCATAATATAATTTCAAATTGGGTGCCTTAAGTCCCCCTCTTTCTCGAGCATCCTGTAATATCTTAAATTTAACCCTTGGTTTCTTCCCGGCCCATATAAAATTATTGATACCCTTTTGCCATTCCTCCAAATTTGCCTCTTTTTTAAGAATAGGTATCATCTGAAACAAAAAAAGAAACTTTGGTAGAACATTCATTTTTACAGCTGAAATTCTCCCCAACAATGACAATTGCAATTTTTTCCAATCTATTAAATCCTTTTGGACTTTTGCCCATAGTGGTTCATAATTGTTCTTGTACAATTTTCCATTTGAAGCAGTTAGATATACTCCCAAGTATTTAACCTTTTTTACCATCTGAAAACCTGTGGCTTTAATCAAACTTTCCCTTTCTTTAACTGACATATTCTTAGATAATATCTTAGTCTTATAATTATTAACTTTAAAACCAGAAACATTCCCATACTGTGTTATAAGTTCTAATAAACCATCAATCGCCTGATTCGGCTGTTCCAAAATTAAAACCAAATCATCCGCAAATGCCCGCAATTTATACTCATTCTTCCTTATCTTTACACCCTTAACTAACTTCGATTCCCGAATCTGAATCAATAAAATTTCCAATGTTAAAACAAATAACAATGGGGATAATGGACATCCTTGTCTTGTCCCTTTTTGAATATTGAAATTCTCAGTCAATCCCCCATTTACAACAATTTGTGCAGATTGCTGCTGATATATAGCTTTAAGTGCATGTAAAAAATTATCCCCAAAATTCATTTTCTCTACCAAAGAAAATAAAAATTGCCAGTCCAATTGATCAAAAGCTTTTTCAGCGTCCAAAAAGATAAAAGCCACAGGAATCTGATTATTCTTATCCAAGTACTCAATTAAGTTAATAATTTGTCTAACATTATGTTTCATATATCTCCCTGTTATAAATCCTGCTTGATCACTATGAATCAAGTCTTTCATAACCTGCATTAATCTATTTGCCAAAATTTTTGTAAAGATCTTATAATCAACATTCAATAATGAAATTGGCCTATAATTCTTAGGCTCTGTAAGATCCTGATCTTCCTTCGGAATCAGTGATATAAAAGCTCTTTTCCAAGAAGGAGGAACTTGCATACCCAACAAAATACTATTAAAGAGTTCCTTTAGTGGCTCTATCATTTCTTCAGATAAAATCTTATAATACCTAGAAGTCAGTCCATCTGTTCCAGGAGACTTTCCAACCTTTAACTGCTTAATAGCTAAGCCAATTTCCTCCACAGTAATTAAACTATTCATCCCATTTTGTTGTTCCTCTGAAAGTCTAGGAAAATGTACTGATTGTAAATATTTATCTATATCCAAACCCCTTATATTATCACTTGAATATAATTTTGTGTAAAAGTCCAAAAAGCTTTTTTTAATCAAATCTTGCTGAAAAACCTCAGTACCTTTATATTTTACTTTCTCTATAATTCTAGCTTTCTGTTTCTTTCGTAACTGATAAGCCAACCACCTCCCAGGCTTATTCGCATTGCAAAAAGTATTATGTCTCATATACGACAGATTGGTAGCCACCTGATCTGCCATCAACATGTTAAATTGTTCCTTAAGCATCTTTATAGATACCTTTAAATTATTATCAGTAGGGTTAAGAACCAAC